CAGCCCCGCGCCCGCTCCCGCCCCGCCCTCAGGCCCCAGTTCCCTCCGCACCACGCAACCTAACCCGCGGCCACCGCGCGGGCGCAGCGATTGGCACAGGACTCGGAGGGAGGCAGAACTTTCCCTCTCCGGCCCTCGCCTCCCGAACGACTCCACCAATTGGAAGTTCCGCGCTCACCGGGGGCCTGGGCCCGGCGTTGACTGGCTGCCGCGTCGGTCGCTCCGAAAGCTTTTGTTGGGAATTCTAGCAAGACTGGTTGAGGCGGCGGATTCCCCACCCGCCTTTCCTGGGAAACCACGTCGTAGAGGCTGGGCCAGGGCGCGCGCGTGGGGACCCTCCCCGGTCCTTGCGGATCCAGTGGCGCCGAGTGGGGCGCGCCCCGGGGTTCGTGTCTCGGACACCCGGCGGAGAATCCCGTTTCGCCTTTTAATGATTCCTCATACCGACCTCTGTTCTTCACCCTTTTAACTCCCTGGTGGAGGCCGCCCAGGTTGCCGGCTCTCTCCCCCAGATCCTTCTGCTTCTCTTTAGGAGAACTAAGTAAGTATGAGCAGGAGGGGGTTATAGCTGTGACTGCCTGGTGGGGCTGTGGAGGGAGGAATATAAGCGAGTTGGGATAAAGTGTTAGTTATATTAACTAACTGGCTGGCACTAACGAGGTTGAATCCTGTGCAGCAGCTGTTTTTGTTGATGCAAAACGGTCCCAATCGAAGCATGTCTCACTTTGTGCTCTCTGGTTTCTGTTTTCGAACCATATATGTGCATTATTTGTTTTTTAAATGTTATCAAAGGTGATGACGGTTGCCCTAGCCGGTTTGGCTCAATGGATAGAGCGTCGGCCTGCGGACTGAAGGGTCCCAGGTTCGATTCCGGTCAAGGGCACATGCCTGGGTTGCGGGCTCGATCCCCAGTGGGGGGCATGCAGGAGGCAGCCGATCAGTGATTCTCATCATTGATGTTTCTAACTCTCTCTCCCTCTTCCTTCCTTTCTAAAATCAATAAAAATATATTTAAAAAAAAAAAAGGTTATGACGGGGTGTGTATGTGTTGGGGAGGGAGGAGCATAACTCTCTGGGTTTTGTTGTTGTTGTTAATCCTCACCCGAAGATATTTTTCCATTGATTTTTAGAGAGAGTGGAGGGGCAGAGAGAGAGAAACATCGATGTGAGGGAGAGACATCAATTGGTTGCCTCCCGCAGGAGGCCCCAGACCAGGGCCAGGGATCGAGCCTACAACCGAGGTACCTGCCCTTGACCGGAATCGAACCCAGGACCCTTCAGTCTGAGGGCCGACTCTCCATCCACTGAGCGAAACATGCTAGGACGTAACTTGCTGTTTTTAAGGAATAAATCCTATTTTTAAATAACTCTTAAGGGTTGAATAGAGACCATTTCCTGTGTTTTAACTGAGCCATAAGCACTCCATCAACACTAACCATCGCCTCTTCTCTGCCGGGGAGGAAGCAGGCTCAGCATGACAGAGCACTAGCTGGCTATCATCCAGGCAGTGACAGGCGACGCTGGGACTAGAACCCAGGTCTGTGCCCCACAGAGCCCGCTGGTGTGACCACTGCACCGCCCTGCTTCTCTGGTCGTGGCTGCCAAACTGCTCCTGCTGTAGCCCCAGGAACCATGAGCTACATTCTGGAGCATTCAGCCGACACCGTTGCTAACACTAGACTAATAGCATAAATCTAGCTCTTCCCCACAGGCCCCTGCCAGGCCATGGAGCACCAGCCAGGTGCCAGGCATCACTTGCTGGCACACCTGGAGAGGCTGCTG